GGTTCGATCCTCAGCACCACATACAACCAAAGATGTTGTTTCCGCCGAAAAACTTAAAAAAAAAAAAAAAAAAAAATAAAAAAAAAAAAAAAAGACTAGAATGGTGGTTACTGGAGGCTATGGGGCAAGGAGGTACACGAGAAAATGAAAGATGTTAGTAAAGGGGTACAAAGTTTGTTAGAAGGATTAAATTCTAGTGATCTATTAAATAGGATGGTAACTATCATTAATAATAGTTATATATTTAAAAATAGCTAAGAGAAGATTTTAAGTGTTTACACCATAAAGAATTTATAAATATCTGAAGTAATGAATGTGTTAATTAGCCTGATTTGATTATTTCACAATATATGCATATATTGAAAAATCATATTTGATACTCCATAAATATATAATTATTATTTGTCAATGAAGCTATGTAAACACAAACAGTTTTTTAAAAGAATATAACCAATGAATTGTAAAATATCAGTCACATAAAAATCAAAGTCAGGGCTGGGGTTGTAGCTTAGCAGTAGAGTGCTCATCTAGCATGTGTGAGGCCCTGGGTTCAATCCTCAGCACCTCTTAAAAACAAATAAATAAAATAAAGATGTTGTGTCCAGTTATAACTAAAAAATACACATTAAAAAATTTTTTTAAAAATCAGTCAATAAGGGTTGAGGATGTGGCTCAAGAGGTAGAGCACTCGCCTGGCATGCGTGCGGCCGGGTTCGATCCTCAGCACCACATACAAAGATGTTGTGTCCGCCGAAAACTAAAACAATAAATAAAAAATTCTCTCTCCCTCTCTCTCTCTCTCTCTAAAAAAAAATCAGTCAATAAAAAGATGGAAATCCCTGTATATAGAACAGGTTTTCTATTGGTTATCAAATATGTATGGCATAGGTATTCCCTGTTTAAAGCAAACACAATGTATGAAAATGTGAGTAAAAAAGGATAAGGAGAAACAATTTAAAACAAATGATCCTTTCTTTCTTTTTGGTCCTAGGGATTGAATCCAGGGATGTTTAATCACTGAGCCACATTCTCAGCCCTTGTTATATTTTATTTTATTGAGGGGAGGGGGCCAGGGATTGAACTCAGGGGTACTTGGGCACTGAGCCATATCCCCAGCCCTATTTAGAGAGAGAGTCTCACTGAGTTGTTTAGCACCTCACTGTCACTGAGGCTGGCTTTGAATTTGTGATCCTCCTGTCTCAGCCTCCCAAGCTGCTGGGATTACAGGAATGCACCACCATGCCTGGCCCTTCCTAAATTACTTAGGGCCTGGATAAATTACTGGGGCTGGATTTGAAGTCTGGATCCTCCTGCCTCCACCTTCTTTGCCACTGGGATTACAGGGTGCGCCACTAGGCCCAGTATCCTTTCTAATTTCTCTGTTTAAAATAACTCTTTGTGTGTGTGTGTGGGGGGGGTGCTGGGGATTGAACCCAGGGCCTTGTGCATGCATGACAAGCACTCTATCTTTTCTAAGTGCAAAAATTTCATTTATATGCAAGCTTTTCAAGAAATACAAAATAAGTATTTGTCAACATTAAATCGATTACATGATCCAGATTTTTTCTGATCATTTTCCCAAGTAGAACAGGATTGGTATTTACCTAGTTCAATGTTTATTAGATACGTGAACTCGTTACTTCTGAGAAATGGCATTCAGTCTTGTTTGAACAACTTATTCTGAGAATAAAATTTGATTTGAGTACTTCAAAAAATGTAAATCAAGCCAGGTGTGGTGGTGTACTTCTGTAATTCCAGCAACTCTGGATGTTGATACAGGAGGATCCCAAGTTCAAAGCCAGTCTCAACAACTTAGCAAGGCCCTAAGCAACATAGTGAGACCCTGTTACAAAATGGTAAATAAAAGGGTTTGAAATGTAGTTTGGTGGTTAAACGTCATTGGGTTCAATTCCCAATACTTGTATGTACATATACATATATAAATAAAATAAAAATAAGGAGATAAATAAATAAAAATAAAAATCAAGAATATTTTAGAAACAGTTCTTTGAATTAGCAGTACTATCTTTAGAATGGTTGAAACTTCTTTGCTTAATATTATTCCCAATTATGAACTTGTGTTCTTAGACAATATCTTAAAATATTTTAATAAAAGAATTATGACTGATTTGCTTGTTTTTTTAATGTATGTATGTATGCAGTCAAAGAAAACAAAATTATTGAGCATACACAAACCACTAGGTTAAGTTCCCTGGAAGCAACAAGGATTTGGGAAAAAGTATATTACTGTAGTAGATCTTCCAAGTGAGTTGTGGAAATACACATAAATATAAAAAGCAGTTGTAATGAATTGGTGGCTTTACTTTTTTCCTTTTTAGAATAAACCCAATTAAATTAACTTAAAAGTCTGGCAACTTTCAAACATTCCCGGTAGAAAACTAAATTATTACAACCCCAATTGAAGACACCTTGGTAATATTTATCAAAATTATAAATGCATATATACTTTGTGGTAGTTTTAAAGTGTGATTATAAATTCTTTCTTATTCTTCCTTTAAGAGACAGACCCTGAGTTCACTGTAGGCCGAGTTTAGTGATTAATTTCTAATAAAAGAAGAAAGCAGAAGTTACATTGTATGTGACTTCTAAGATTGCATCATAAAAAGCACTATGGCTCTGTCTTGTTCTCTCAGAAAACTCATTATGTGAAAAACCAGTAGCCATGTTTTCCAGGTCCCTCAGATAGCTCTACATAAAGGCTCACATGGCAAGGAACTAAGGACATCTGCCAACATCCAGGAAGAAACTGAAGCTTCAGGGGCTGGGGATGTGGCTCAAGCGGTAGCGCACTCGCCTGGCATGCGTGCCGTCCGGGTTCGATCCTCAGTACCACATACAGATAAAGATGTTGTGTATGCCGAAAACTGAAAAATAAATACTGAAATTCTCAAAAAAAAAAAAAAAAAAAAAAAGAAAGAAACTGAAGCTTCAGTAGCCAAAAGAATGAATCATCTTTTAAGTGAACTTACCACTCTTAGTCAAGTCTGCAGATAAATGCCACCTGGTAACGGTTTGACCCTGACTTCATAAGACCTCTTAAGATGGAATCATCCAGCTAAGCCCCTGTTAGATTCCTGTTGCCCCTAGAAACTCTGCTAGTACACAACAAAAAGGATGGAGAAACTCACCTCAAGGCCAAATCCTCCCCTAACACTTGTATTTCTAAATAAACTTTACAGAAACACAGTCTTGCTCCTTTATTTTCATATTATTCATGACTATTTTCCTATGACAGCAGAGTCAAATACATAGTTGTGTGCTATCTGGTCCTTTACAGAAAAAGTTCACTCACCCTAGGCTAAAATCATGAAAATTACCCTGTGTCAGTAAGGACAGAGATGGTAATAAGAACCTCTTTTTAATTATACTGTGATGGTGATTACCATTACAATTAATTCTTCTAGTACAGGTGATAATTAGCAACAAATAGATAAATGGTAGAAAAGAAAAAGGGGAGGAGAAACAAAAGAGTGGACAAAAAAAGATTTTTTTTTTTTTTTTAGTGGTACTGGGGATTGAACCCAGTGACATTCTACCACTGAGTTATTTTCCTAGCATAGACCTTCCTCACACCCAGTGCTTTTTTCTTTTCTTTTCTTTTTCTTCTTCTTTTTTTTGGATACTGAGGATTGAACCCAGGGGTGCTTTATCACTGAGCAACATCCCCAGCCCAAATTCTCATTTTGAGATAGGATCTTGCTAAGTTGTTGAACCTGATTTTGAACTTAGAATCCCCTTGCCTAACTACCCCGAGTTGCTGAGATCACAGGCATTTACCACCATCCTCTACTACCCCAGCTCCTTTTTATTTTGGGACAAGGTCTCATTAAACTTGTGATCCTCTTGCCTCAGCCTCCCAAATTGCACAAATGTGCACCAACATACCTGACTCAAACAAAAGATTTTCAAGGTAGATGTCCAGGACCTAACTGCATGATAAATATTACAGATATATGCAATGGGACAATGATTCTGACTCTGAATGGGGGCCAGTGAACTCTGTTCTTCCTCCTCCAGCCTACCTGTTCTGCCAGCCAGGCAATGTGCTTGACTTCCTTGCTGCCTCCTGCAGTACTGGTTGCACCAAGCATGGCATTAAGCTCAGCCAACACCTGTGGGAGGAGAGCCATTATGTTGGTGTGGATAGCTATGAACCAGGAGTGTGCTGTGGCTGTATCCTTGCAGCGGAGGATCAACGTGTTCCTGCTATCAGGAGAATGTAGCTCTATCAATCTGTGTAGAAATAGAAAAGAAAAATGTGAGTCAGGTCAGAAGTCATCAAACCTACCAGTTTACCATGCGTAACTGCAAATTTATTTATATATTCCTCAAAGAGAGACACTTTCTCTTAATTTCCTAGAGTATAATTTCAGAGAAAACTACACATGGGAAGATAATCACCAGGAAGACTATTGGATCTACTGTAGTATGTTATAGTAAAGGAGCTAAGACAAAGGAATCTATTAGGGTCTTTAGTAGAACACTTCTTGTCTAAGAAATGTAAAGCACGCTTGTTGAATGTCATAGGTACATTTGTAAATAAAAAAATGGTATTTTAAATTACTTAGATAATTCTGGTATAAGGTATTGCCAGGTATTTCTAGAAACGCAACACCTGACAAACAACAAGATAAAATTACCACTAACACTATGTGAAAAAAGAAAAAGAGAAATTAACAGAAGAACATGAAAATTTGTAATTATATATTGGTGTCCGGGTAACATCATATGATTAAATCATCTACTGAGTCCTGGCAGAAAATACTTAAGAGATTGTAAACACTATAGCTATTCTGCATTAGTTAACGCTTTAACTGAGAACAATCTATACGTCAAAAGTAAATTTTAGAAATTAACTAAAAAACTTTTTTAATGTGTTCTGTGTTCTAATAGTAAATACACATACACCTTTCAAAATGGAAAAATGGAAAGCTATTAGGAGTGTTGCCCCTGGTAGGCTAGAAATTGACAAACTACCAGTGACCAAGGAGAGATCTTTATTTGCTGCCTTGAAACACTGTCATCAGATTCTGTACCACCTGTCAAAGATAAGCAATTTACATATACACTATGATTTCTGCCTTGAAGCTGGAATTTCTCTTTTGCCAAATTCTTTTGCCCCTTCACAATTCCAAATATTTTAAGCTGCTATACATTATATGGCAATCATTCATTCTCATTTGAACTCTGGTTGGTTTATCCTCTCTTAAATAAACATTTATTGATCCCCTACTATATGGTAGATACTATACTAGACACTGGTCTTAAGCAACCATGTCAAATAAGTAACTAAACAAAAAAAGCAAAACAGCATATAATACTATAATAATAGAACACTGCACTAAAGGGGAGTGTCATCTCTGTTTTAATCATTGTATTGAGTTAATAATTCCTATGAAAAACTGCTCAAATAGTAATTAAAGTAGCTAAGCTTATTTTAGGGTAAATTTACTTAATGACAAGTAGTTATCCATAAAATACAATGCTAGTTTATTAGATAACATTAGACTATAAGCTAAAAGCAAGGTATTTTATATTTTACTACTTATATTAATCTTTTTAAAAAATATTTTTTAGTTGTAGGTGGATACAATACCTTAATTTTATTTATTTGTTTTTATGTGGTACTGAGGATTGAACCCAGTGCCTCACATGTGCTAGGCAAGCGCTCTACCACTGAGCCACAACCCCAGCCCTACTTATACTAATCTTTTTTTTTTTTTTTAGTTATAAAAGGACACAATACCTTTATTTATTTATTTATATGGGGGGGGGTGTTGAGGATCAAACTCAGTGCCTCACATATGCTAGGCAAGCATTCTACCACTGAGCAACAGCCCCAGCTTGACTTATACTAATCTTAAAAAGAAAAGTGGGGTGGGGTTGTAGCTAGTGGCAGAACAAGTGCCTAGCATGTGTGTGGCACTGGGTTCAATCCTTAGCACCACATAAATAAATAAATAAATAAATAAATAAATAAATAAATAAATAAATAAATAAATAAATAAATAAATAAATAAGAAAAGTATTTCTAAAACTTCCTACATAAGATGGCAATGAAGCATGTACAACTAACTATTCTACTCCTTCCTGAAATCTAATTAAAAACAACAGCAAAAGGGGATTACCTTTTAATCAAATTTTTTGTTTGTTTTTGTACTGGAAATAGAACCCAGATGCACTTTACCAATGAGCTATATCCCCAGTTCATTTTATTTTTTATTTTGAGATAGGGTCTCACTAAGTTGCAAAGCTTCATTTCAAATTTGGGATCCTTCTGCCTCAGCCTCCTGAGTCTCTTGTAATCAATTTTAATTTTATTTTTAATCAACATGTAATAATTGTTCGGTTGGGCATGGTGGTGCATGCCTATAATCTCACAGACTCAGGAGGCTGAGGCAGGAGGATCACAAATTCAAGGCAAACCTCAACAACTTAGCAAAACCCTGTCTCAAAATAAAAAAATTAAATAAGAGCTGTAGATGTAGCTCAGTGGTAGAGCATCCCTGGGTTTAATCTCTTAGTATCACCTACATACACACACATAAAAGTCCAATTTACAGGATATGATGTGATGTTTCAATACACATACCTTATATAATGATACAATCATGGTAAATAGCATATTTATCACCTCAACAATTTATTGTTTCTTTCAAAAGCCTTTCCTCTAGCTATCTTGACATATCCATTATTGACTACAGTCACCCTATGTGCAACAGAACACCAGAACTTATTCCTCCATGTAACTCTAACTTTGTATCTGTTTACCTACCTCTCCAGCTTCTGGTAATCATTATTCTACTCTCTAATTTTATGAGATAAACTTTCTTAGATTACACTAATGAGATCATGCATTGTCTGTGCCTGGCTTACTTTACTTTACATAATGAAATCCAGGTCCAACTATGTTGTCACAAATTACAATCAATTTCATTCTTCTTCTTCTTCTTTTTTTTTTTTTTTTTGTACTGTGGATTAAAACTCAGGAGTGCTTTACCACTAAGCTACATTCTCAGCCCTTTTTAAATTTTTTGAGACACAATCTTGCTAAATTGCTTAGGGCCTCACTAAATTGCTGAGGCTGGCTTTGAACTTGTGATCCTCCTGCCTCACCCTCCAGAGTCACTGGGATTACAGGTGTGCACCACTGTGTCCAGCAGTTTCCTTCTTTCTTAAGGCTGAATAATATTCCATTGTGTATATGTACCACATTTTCTTTATCCATTCATCTGTTATTGAACACCTAGGTTAAATCTATTTCTTGTCTAATGTGAATAGTACTACAATAAACATGGGAATGCAGACATCTCTTTGAAAAACTGGCTTCATTTTCTGTTCAGATCTGTTACCCTTTTTCTTTTCTTTCTGAAAAAAGCATCTCACTATATTGCCTAGTTTGACCTTGAAGTTGCTATCCTCCTGCTTCAGCCTCCTGAGTAGCTGGGAATATAGGCATGTGCCACCATGCCTGGCTAGATCTGTTACTTGTTTTTATTTTTTACATTATTTTAGAATTAGTATTATTATTTAGTACTGAATATTGAACCCAGGGGTGCTTTATACAGATCTACATCCCCCTCCCTTTTAATTTCTTATTTTGAAACAGGGTCTCAATAAGTTGCTTACTAAAGGGCCTCACTAAATTGCTGAGGCTGCCCTTGAACTTGTGATCCTCATGCTTCAGCCTCCAGAGTTGCTGGGATTGCAGGCATGTGCCACATTGCCTGGCCTGTTACTCCCCTTTTATTGAGTTGTTTTCTTATTTTTGAATTGCAAATTTTATTTATTTTAGTTTCTATTCTAGCCCATTT